CTTTCATGTACATTCCTCTATCAGGTGCTGTGTAACTCATACAAGATAAAACTGTGATTGTCTTTGTCTTCATTCAGCCCTTATGTTATCGGGACCATGAACCAGGGGGTGTCATCCTCTCCCAACCTGGAGCTGCACCACAACTTCAGGTCTGCGACTCTTGAACCACAACATGACGATTAAAAACCAAATACTCTGGTTCAGTGTGACCTTTATTTTTCATCATTGATCGTCTGTCCGTGTGCAGGTGGGTTCTGTGCACCAATCACACCGAGCCGGTCAAAGGTTTCCTGGGCCGTTTCCTGCGGCGGAAGCTGATAGAGACAGAGATCGATAAGAACATGCGCAGCAATGACCTGATTAAGATCATCGACTGGATCCCCAAGACCTGGCAGCACCTCAACGGCTTCCTGGAGGCACACAGCTCCTCTGATGTCACAATAGGTCAGACACACGCACACAAACGCACACACACACACACACACACACTCTCATTGCTAAAAATAGACTGCATGGCGTCTAAATATAGACGCTGCCTGATCATGTTTAGTGGCGGCCCTGAGCTGTTCAGGCTCCACACTTTGAGTTTTTATTCGACACATCATCTGGGCTCACTTTTGTCCCTGCAGGCCCCCGTCTCTTCCTGTCCTGTCCCATGGATGTCGAGGGCTCTCGGGTTTGGTTCACCGACCTGTGGAACTATTCTCTGGTACCTTACCTGCTGGAGGCGGTGAGGGAGGGGCTTCAGGTACGTCCTGAAAACACTTGAAATAAAGGTCCTGGATCACGCCTCGACATAGGCATGCCGGAACACTAGGTGGCGTTAGTGTGTAATCAAAATCCTCATTAAGAGCATCGGGCCCCCAAACCATCACTGAGACTTAAAACCAGTAGGGCTGTAATCGAGCAAAGAAATTCTTGGTTGACGTCAAACACTGAAATTTTCGACCAAAGACCGACTACTAAGGGGGTTCGGACTTTGACGTCAAACTCTTCTGCGGTGGGCGACGACTCGGCTCACGGAGCGATTAAACACAAAAGGCAATTCAAGGAAAATATCCGGCAAACCAGCGGACGTTGATTAACTTGGACGCTCTTCAATCTTCCTGTCCCCAGCTGGTCTACAGTGGGTTGTGCGAATCCAAAATGGTGAAAACAAGGGGGGGTATTCTGAGACGGGCTGTTACTTGTCAAACAAGGGTGCTCTGAAAACACCCCTTTAGTACTTGGTACGTTCCTCATGATGAAATTAACCATAAACTGCAAAATGACACAGAAAAAAATCGAGTCGATTAATCAGAATTTTGGTCGACTCAGCACTTATCGACCACTAATTCGACCAGTCGACTTGGACTTTACAGCCCTGCTAACAAGTTTAGATTGACCAATTAACCTGACGAGTGTGTGGAGGAAGCTGAAGCACCTGAAGAGATACACATGGAGAGAGTGTAAACTCCTGCCCGGCCACGAGTTCAAACCAGGAACCTCCTCGCTGTAACCTGACAGTAGCGAGCAGACGTAAACAAACCAATAACGAGCTATCTAAACAGTGACGTCAGAAACCTCCATGTTTTGACACACAGCCAAAAACGCTGATAATCAATCAAACTTCATTTTTAAAGGTCAAATTCAAACAATTAATCTTTATTTATATCAGACGCATGGTTCGATTAAGAATGATGTGACACATCTGCAGTAAAACTCTTTAAATTGGTGTTTACGTTTGATGAATTGACATTTACTACTAAAACATCAGTCATGGACCGATTGTCTTGATGCATCCTAGAGTAGTAGGGCTGGGCGAAAAACCCAAATTTACCGATACCAGAATTTACCACAATAAACAACGTCATTTTGCCCATGTCAGTATGATCGGTGTAAAAAAATAAAGTTGGTTTTGGATGTGTGTAGATAGGCTATGGTCTCATATCCTACGTCACAGACGTGACTCCAACCCACTCAGTCCGTAACAAAGAGATAAAGACAGGTGAGGAGATGGAGGACGGTTCAAAAGTTGTAGCGGCTGAAGTAGACGAAGTTAATGTGGGAGGGGGTGAGCAGCTTGTGGAGTAGTTATCGTCCATTTATCGTTATTGAGGTGAACTGATCAATATATCATGGTATTGATTTGAGTCCATATCGCCCAGCCCTATGAGTATCACAGCTGTTGAAGTAAATCTCAGAAGATGAGGATTCTCCCATGAGCTCCATTCATACAATCTTCAGCTGATATTTGCTGCAGATTCACTTTTATTAGTAATTGATTAAAAAAGTGAGTTAACCTAACCCTGACTTCTCCTCCGTCTTCTTTGGCGCACCTGCAGCTGTACGGCAAACGAGCAGCATGGGAGGATCCGTCCAAGTGGGTGAACGACACGTATCCGTGGAACGCCGCCGCGCTGCAGCAGGAGGGCCAATCACTGCTCCAGCTGAGGCCGGAGGACGTCGGATACGACAGCTACAGCTCATCCAAGGAGGGCGCCTCGTCCAAGCAGGTGTCTCAGAGCGACACTGAGGGAGACCCACTGGTGAGTGACGCAAACTAAATCACTAAATTCAGTTATCTTTAAACACACAGAGTTTGGTTTATCGCAGCCCTGGAGGAGTTAGAGAGTAGTCATCCGAAAATACGTCACTGGATTATCAAGCGTGTGTTCACAGGTGTGCTGAAGCTCCGTTGAAGAACACTTATAGCATAATCCAGCAGATGCAGCGGCGGCACATTCGCATTATTCAGACCATTAGACTCGGAGCGGAAAGTTCTGCAGCTTTACTGCCGTTTTACTGCGCGTCTTAAAAAGTGCGTCTCTTCTGTTGTAAAATATAAAGACTCGGTTTACGAGTCACGAGACGCGGGTTTATCACAGGTGATTAAAGTATGATCGTCGGTCTATTCAGCAGAGACACAAAGCAAAGCTAGAAGGAGAAACACAAGTGAGTGTGATGAGAAAACATCTTCTCTCACTGACGACTGAGTTAATTCAGGGTTTTTGTTCGTAAACCCTCCTCCTCCTTCCTCCTCATTCCACCAACACAATCTAAAATGATTCGTTCAAACGACTCACCTATCACAGAAATCGGATGCAGTGGAGCTGGTGGGAGTGTCTGATTCGGTTTAAAGAAGCATTTTAGCATGAGCTGGTATGTTTTATTAACCCCTGAATGACCTGACCACTGGCTTTCATGGGCTACAGACAACACATGCTGACGATCGGCTGTAGGGACTACAATCTGACACACTGTGCTCAACTCATGGTGAGCAGACCCAGCAGGACACCATTTACAAATCAGAATATCTTTATTAACAAAGAAAGCAACTTTTTCCACACTCGCTCTGTCAATAATCACGACTCCTGCAAAACCATCGTTTAAAACGGCTAGTTGAGTTAATTTCAGTGACTTTGGTTTCTTCTCTCTAGTTTAGAGTCGCCTTTTGTTGCATTTGTTTGTTTCTTTGAGCGGAATTCCATATTCCTGTTTTTTCGCCTCAAACTTATGTTGGAACAGCACTCATTTATTTTATTTTGCAATAAAACAAACATTTTTACAACAACTAAACCAGAGTTTATGTTACGTCCTTTCCCTTCACGAGCTGGGTTGTAACAGTGCAGTTTAGATTCGGATCAGTACGCCTGGTGCTCCGACAGAGGGGCAGGAAAAAGGACAGTGAGAGTTTGACTTTAAAGAGCGTCACATTTTCACCTTTTCACCTGCAAACAGTAAAATATTTAAACAAGCTCTGTGGAGTTAAAAAAACACGCAAAACCTCAGAGCAACATGTTTCCCTTGAATTCTGCAGAATGGTCGTTTGGTGCAGTACACAATTTGGCCACTAGGTGTCAGTAACTCACCACAGAACCTGTGTGTAATTTACAGTAAATTTGACATTTTTCAGCTAAGAGAAGTGAAGAGAAACTGGATTTAACTAAAATAAAATGTTAAAATATATATATATTTTTTTTATTAACATCAAAAGTTTATTTATAAGTGACATCAATTATTGATTATTAACAGATTAATCAGCCTACCTCTGTTTTTGTATCACATTTCTTGTACAAATAAGGCTCGTAGATGATGAAGTTGAAGATGCATGTCGGTTTTAGCGAACTTTTACTTCACACTCCGTCCAGAATATTAAACACCAAACACCGAGACGAGTCTGTACCACCTGATCTCTGTCCTGCTCTTCAAACGCCTCTTTGTTTCCTTGTTTCCTCTCAGATGAACATGCTGCTACGGCTCCAGGAGGCAGCGAACTACTCCAGCACGCAGAGCTGCGACAGCGACAGCACCAGTCACCACGACGACCAGCTGGACTCCTCGCTGGAGTCGGCGCTATGAGACGCCCGGCAACCTTTAAAACCTCCGTCACTACCGGACTCCCTTAACGCGCACAGATGTGTGACGTATGAAAAGTTCTAGAAGAGTGAAGCTGCAGTTTGACAGAAAACACGTATAATTATTGATTATCAGACGGGTCGGATTGATTTTATTTTCAACGCTTCAGTCAGGACAGAACTTTTCATACGCGTGTGAAGGAGACGCGTCTGGTGAGGGTTCCTCTGACGTAGTCCTCTCGGGAGCCAATCACATCGCTCCTTTTTTAAGTTTCACTTTGAGTTTCCAAAGTGTCTGAAAAAAAAGAGAAAGCCACGAGTTAAAACAAAACTGGATTTTTCTTTTTTTTTTTTTTTTCTTTGTTCTTTTTAATCCCAGATTATCCCTTCAGATGTTTACAGCGGGGGGTTCGGGTTCTGTTACGTCTTTCCTTGTTTACAGAGGTGCTTCACACACACACACACACACACACTCACACACTCACACACTCATACGTATGCACTTAAACACAGGCAGCAGGAGGACGTTGGCCTTGAATCAGGGGGCTTCTGTTGTAGTCCGACCCTCACTGATGGTGGTCTAAAACCCTCACAGAGGAAGGCTGAATCTCTTTAAATAAACGTATCCTGTTTGTTCAGTCATGTAAAAAGCCAATAACCAGCTCAGTCACTAACTGGCTCCTCACTAGTTACAGCTTTAGAGCGGCGGGCCGAGGGGCGCTTCTCTCTGTTTACCACTGTACCACCTCCCCTTTGGTGGTCTTTGCCTTTCCTGAGCAGACCGAGGATTCTGGGCAACAGATGTGGTCGATTTGAGAAAGTACAACCCCGCCCGAGCGTCAGAGGAGTAACCTTTTCATAACACTCTCACTCCTCCTCCTCTTTAGTGGTCAGTTGAGCTCCATGGTGCTGGTCTCCTGCCCTGAACCACCTCAGTGTCAGGCACTGCCAAGCCGCTCCTCGCTGCCCTGCGTGCCAACAACAAGCACAACGAAAGCGCATTGTCTGTGCGTCGTCCAGCCACAATGCTACTGTGATGAGAGAGAGTGGACAGGTGCCAATGTTTCCCTTTGGTTTACTGCCAAATGTGCACACCGACACACACCAACAGAGACCCCACATCACCACTCACGGCGGACCACAGTCCCTCACTTCCATTCAGTTGGTTTGGACCTTTCTATCTTCACTCACTTCATAGTTTGGATGCACCGTTAAAACAGCATGAAGCAAAAAAAAAGCAGCAGGTGACCGCAAGCCGAGCTCCGAAGATCCCAGAATTGTAACCTGGCTGTCAAACTTTCAGTTCACCAACACGGCAAAGTGTCTTAACGAGGTGGTGTCCTCGTTAGATTGGCTCTAGAATCAGCTGCAGATGTGTAATAGTTTCCAAACTCAGTCCAAGCCCCAAAATCAAGACGCTTAATTCAACTTCTCTGTGCCGAGGCTGTGCGCCGCTTAACCGGCAAAACGTTTGGACCGAGCCTCAGGTCTGTGGAGATGCTAATTAGTGGATAAGTTTATGTAGCTTTAGCCGCAGTGTTGTCGTAAACGAAAACTTTGTATAATAACTTTAAATCAGAAGAGAAACATCAAGTCGGTGACAGACGAGCGACGACACTAATCCACAAACTGCAGCAGAGAAATTCGCCCTCATAACGACTTCAGAATCAGCTGCAGATGTGTAATAGTTTCCAAAACTCAAACCAAGCCCCAAAAATCTTTGTGTCGATGCATGAACGAGTGTGTTTTCTGCTTTTTTAGGCGCACAGTGGAAGCAGAAATTTAAATCCTCACACTCAGTACAAAGGTTCAAATAGAGCACTAATAAATAATCAAGACGCTGAATCCAACTTTGCTGTGCCGAAACTGTGCGCCGCTTAACCGGCAAAACGTTTGGACCAAGCCTCAGGTCTGTGGAGATGCTAATTGTTGGATACGTTTATTAGCCGCAGTGTTATCGTAAACGAAAACTTTGTAAATTAACTTTTTAAATCAGGACAGAAACATAAAGTCAGTGACAGACGAGCGACGACACTAATCCACAAACTGCAGCAGAGAAATTCGCCCTCATAACGACTTCTTGAAGATTCACATCGTGCTGTTTTGCTACTTTCACTGCTGGGGTTGTGCGAACGGAAGTCTAGCAGCCATCTTGCAGAAATCAGTTTGAGGCTTTAGAGCTGAGCCGGCGGTCACTTCCTGAAATCTGCGAATAACCTGCAGGAAAAAAAAACGAGAAAAAGTATAAGGACGGACACACTGACTGATCCAAACGCAGAATATTCAGACGCATGATGCGAGCTGCAGGTGCCCTGCGTGGAACCTGATGGTACTCGTTTGGTAGTTTCGCTCAGCGTCTGCATCCAGATCAACGGCGAACCAAAAAAAAAAAAATCCAAAGTACTTTCAAATGCAAGCTCAGCGAAGGAGCTGAAAACCTGAACAGAGATCCTGGTGCTTTCTCACTGCCTTAATCGTGCAAAGATTCGGGACGCGAACTCCGCTCCCATTGGCTATAGTGAGAAACAGAGCTGTGATGTCGAACGGCGAGCATCTGCTTCCTGATCCGTCAAAGAAGCTGATTGTACTAAAAAAGAAAAAAAAAAAAGCCTCTTTTGTTATCTGTCGCTCCCTTTCTTGTTTCTGACGTTTAAAGTATAAAAGAGTTGATGCTGTATTTGAATTATAACTGACCAATATTGTAAAAAGATTGAAAAAAAGGGGGCGGGGTCTTTTTTAAGTTGTTTTTTCGCCCAGTTGAGCTGGGCTCACTTGAACTGACAGGAGCACAACCAAACCGTTTTTGGGTTTTCTAGCCTGACGAGCATGTTTTGAAGCTTTTTAACGGGGATGCATTGAAAAGAGACCTTTATCGTTACGTATGCGTGTATTGGACGGAAGCCATTTTGAATTTTGATTGTCCTCTCTTTGTTTAACAGGTGGGTTGGTTTTGCACACTTTGAGGTCGGGGTGGGTTGTATATACTTAAGTCTTGCACAGTGAATCAAGATGCATTCTGCCCTGTTGATGTTACGATATGCTTAACCCGCTGAGTAAATTATTGTACTTAAAAAGAAAAAAAAGAAACGCAAAAACCCAACACGCTGTCAGAAGCAGGTGTGTGTCTCGTGGTGGTGGATGTTTTGCCTATGCAGGAGGCATACAGTGTACAGTATGAAGCTGTTTTTGACTCACAAGTATCGCAGCCCGGTGACACGTAAAGGCACTTTTCTGGTTTAGTACCCATCTTCTCCGTCTCTAGGAATGCCTGTTGTTCCTTAAAGCGCTCCTCTCTGGACATTACGACCCGAGCTCACCGCCACGTTAGACTTGCAGGCTGTCCTAGGCACCGAAGCTGACCCGACGCCGTACTGTAAACAATCACCAACAGGTGCTACTGGTCAGTAAAAGCCCACCAGAGACCAAGACGTCATTTGTCTCAACCTCAGGACAATCCTATCCTCTACAATCCTACCTGTGTTCAGCTTCACACGTCTCTGCAGCCAAGTCTCACATTTACCCGCCTGCCGTGGCCGGCCTCGTACCTGCAGGGGCGGGGCAGTTACAGGAGAAGAGGGTAGTTATAGTGGAAACAGGTTCCTCCATACCCACAGTTACACATTTGTTTCTCCAGCTTTACAACCACTCGTTCCTGTTCCAGGTGCATGAGTCCCCGAGCGCGCAGAGCAGTTTCAGCGTAGTCTCAATATTCAGCCGGTATTCGATCCCACTCAACACTTTGCAGTTCAGTCTCAGTTGAAAACCATGGCATTTACTCTGGGTTAAGAAAAAAGTTTTCTTCTTTTTGGGTGAAACATTTGTCCTTCAATGTTTTATATTTTGTACATTTGTATGTAACATATCATGTAAATAGACAGAGACAGTGATTTAACTCATCTGGAGGATTTTGTAGTCTTTGTAAAGCCCTAATAAATGGTATTTGGTGTCACACGAGCAAACTCTGGTCCACGCCTCTGTTTGTGTCCCACTGAGGTGTCTGTGTGGATTTTAACTATAACACAAAGAGCAACACAACCTCACAACCTCCAGTCTTTGACTCTATCACATCAACATCCACAATATTCCAGACAGAAACGGATGATTTTTACATTTTCAACAGCATCAAATGTAAAAATGCAAAATAACATTTATTATGTGAGAACATGACGAATTAAATGTGAAAAAAATCTGCATTAGTATTGGATGAGTATGTTCTATAGAAGAAGATACTAAGAAGAGAAAGAAAAAAAACAAAATAACAAAAAAAGGAAGTTATGTTCCTTTATTCTCAGACAGCAAAACCAAAGAAAAAAGAAAAACATTAAATAAGGAAAAAAAAAAACAGATAAACACATTTTAAAAAAAATATATTTATATATATATAAGTTTGGACACACCTCATTCAATCCATTTTCTTTATTCTCTTTACTATTTAAATTGTAGATTATCAGTGAAGGCATCAAAACTATGAACTCATGAGGAATCATGTGGTTAAGAAACAAGTGTGAAATGACCGAAACATGTTTTATATTTTAGATTCCTCAAAGTCGCCACCCTTTGCTTTTTTGGTAGCGCTGCAAACTTTTGCTGTTCTCTCAATGAGCTTCATGAGGTAGTAACCTGAAATGGTTTCTACTTCACAGGTGTGCCTCGTCAGGGTTACTTCGTGACTAAGTACTTCTGTCATCAAGAGCAAAGGGTGGTTATTTTAAAGAAACTAGAATATAAAACGTGTTTTCAGTTATTTCACACTTTTTTTAAGAGTTCAAAATTCTACATGTGTTCATTCATAGTTTTGATGATAGTGATAATCTACAATGTAAATAGTCATATATACACACACACATATATATATATACACTCACCGGCCACTTTATTAGGTACACCATGCTAGTAACGGGTTGGACCCCCTTTTGGCTTCAGAACTGCCTCAATTCTTCGTGGCATAGATTTGTCGGCTGCACATCCATGATGCGAATCTCCCGTTCCACCACATCCCAAAGATGCTCTATTGGATTGAGATCTGGTGACTGTGGAGGCCATTTGAGTACAGTGAACTCATTGTCATGTTCAAGAAACCAGTCTGAGATGATTCCAGCTTTATGACATGGCGCATTATCCTGCTGAAAGTAGCCATCAGAAGTTGGGTACATTGTGGTCATAAAGGGATGGACATGGTCAGCAACAATACTCAGGTAGGCTGTGGCGTTGCAACGATGCTCAATTGGTACCAAGGGGCCCAAAGAGTGCCAAGAAAATATTCCCCACACCATGACACCACCACCACCAGCCTGAACCGTTGATACAAGGCAGGATGGATCCATGCTTTCATGTTGTTGACGCCAAATTCTGACCCTACCATCCGAATGTCGCAGCAGAAATCGAGACTCATCAGACCAGGCAACGTTTTTCCAATCTTCTATTGTCCAATTTCGATGAGCTTGTGCAAATTGTAGCCTCAGTTTCCTGTTCTTAGCTGAAAGGAGTGGCACCCGGCGTGGTCTTCTGCTGCTGTAGCCCATCTGCCTCAAAGTTTGACGTACTGTGCGTTCAGAGATGCTCTTCTGCCTACCTTGGTTGTAACGGGTGGTTATTTGAGTCACTGTTGCCTTTCTATCAGCTCGAACCAGTCTGGCCATTCTCCTCTGACCTCTGGCATCAACAAGGCATTTCCGCCCACAGAACTGCCGCTCACTGGATATTTTTTCTTTTTCGGACCATTCTCTGTAAACCCTAGAGATGGTTGTGCGTGAAAATCCCAGTAGATCAGCAGTTTCTGAAATACTCAGACCAGCCCTTCTGGCACCAACAACCATGCCACGTTCAAAGTCACTCAAATCACCTTTCTTCCCCATACTGATGCTCGGTTTGAACTGCAGGAGATTGTCTTGACCATGTCTACATTCCTAAATGCACTAAGTTGCCGCCATGTGATTGGCTGATTAGAAATTAAGTGTTAACGAGCAGTTGGACAGGTGTACCTAATAAAGTGGCCGGTGAGTGTATGTGTGTGTGTGTGTGTATAAATTTATCTAAATATATATAAACACAAATTAAAAAATTAATATGTAGATGAAATATATGAAAGTATTCTACATATATATTTATATATAAATGTTTCTATCACATTCTGTATAATTATATAAAAACATGTCTTTATTTATGCACTTTTATATGTTCATAGTCATACATATTTCTTAAATTTATAATAAATTTTGAAAAATTCCTAGATAAATGTAGATATATTTTTAGATGAGTTTAGTGATATGATGTTTAGGCAAATTGTATAAATAAATATCAAAAAAATAAAGAAAATATTAATAAGAGATTCAGGTAAGAGATTTATGAGTATACACACACACACACACACACACACACTCACCTCAGATAGATAGATAAAATGGAATGATTTTTCTTTCACACCAGACCCAATGAAGTTATTTTATGAAAGTGAAGTACCTGAAAGTCACCAGCAGAGGGCTCTGTTCTCCACTGTGACTCAGTTAAAAAAAAAAACACCATCAGAGGAAAGACAAAGATAATGTTCCTACACTTTATCATATTTTTAAAAGAACATTACTGTACACAGCAGTGTTATTAATGAGACCATCAGACTGATTTAACTCTCATATTTGACGTTTAATTTGACAAACCACAAATAAAATTATTTTTATAGCTGTAAGAGAAAAAGGAGGAATGGTAATCCGACGTTTTCACCTCAGGACTGAATTAAACTGATTTAAGTTTAATGGCATTTTTGTCACTGATAATTTCTCATGCTACTTTTACCTCATAACCAGTGATAAAACATGATATCTCTGTATTTTCTGCCTCCTTTGAGCAGATCCATGCACCTTAACATACAGGAACATCATGTTTCCTACAGATCAGCGTTTACTGAGATGGATCAGTAACTGTGAGTCATCAGGGCGCCAAGAAATATGTACAGTAAAGTGTGATACAAATCTTTAGTGTCACTTAAGATTTTACTGTCAGAGCCGATGACAGCAGCTCAGTGAACACCACTGATGCTCAGCAGCTGTTCTATTGAGGCATGAAGATTACTCAGACCTGTTCAACAGCTTCCTTTGTATGTGCAACATAAATAAGGAGATAAACTGCTCTGAGCTTTGTCATTCTTTAGCTCAGAGGGGATAGATCTTTTTCTGTTGCAGCCCCTCCAAATCAGACAAGCCCCCACACTGTCCATTTTTAAAACTCGTCTTAAAACCCATTTTTATTCATTGGCTTTTAACCCTGCGTGAGACTCGGCTCCTGTTTTAGTGTTCTATGGTTTGTTTTTAGTTATTTGTTTCTATGTTTTTAAATTAGTTTTTAAAAACATTGAAGCTATATTTTACTTTTAATTCTGCTTTTATTTTATCCATTGTTTTAATTGTTTCTTGATTGTTTTTTATCTTGTTGTTTTTGTCCTGTTATGTACAGCACTTTGTTCAGCTGTGGTTGTTTTAAAGTGCTCTACAAATAAAGTTGAGTTGAGTTGATTCTTTAGCTGTAAATTTCATGACAACCTGTGTCATTCATAGGTTCATGCCCTTACTTTTTTAAAGCCGTACAGATAACACATGGAGACATTAAACCACGACAAAGATAAAGAGGATATTTTAAAATATACACTACAGGCCAAAAGTTTGGAAGTAAGGCCGTTACAGGCCGAACAGTTGGGAGTAACTTCAAGTTTTTGTTCCCAATGCTTTTTTTAAAATCCAGCATGAGTTTGATGTATTTTGGGATGTATTTACTCCATGATCAGATGTTGCTTTCATGGAAATGCACCATTTTACTCCATTTACCTTTAGATATACAATGATGTTAACAGACCATTACTAAATATACGTTAGCAAAAGAAAATAAGGGCTTAGTTTTAGGGTTGAAAACATTTGCAAGAGTCACAACTTCAGTGCAAAAGCAAAAAAAAAAACAAAGTTGGATTATTCATTTTAACTTTTTGGCTTTTGAGGGTCTGCAGACAATAATCTCAGCTGCGTTCAAAATACCGCAAAAATGGCTAGAAAGAAGCAGCTGAGTAAAGAAACAAAAGTACAGATTTGTACATTGAGGAAAGAAGGATACATTGAAAGAGAAATGAAGGTGTTTAACAAAGGAGTCCACGACACTCTGAAGAGACTAGAGGAACCTGGAAGTTATGATGATAGAAAAAGACCTGGATGAAAGAGAGTTACTACAAAAGCAGAGGATAAACATATTATTGTCACCAGTAAGAGAGACCGGCAAAAGACAGCACCAAAAATAAGGGAGGAAATCAACATGACAAGGTCG